TATATATATATCTACGTGCATATATATAATTAACAGATTACAGATACATATTTGTATGGCAAATAATTTAATTTGTGTACTTACGGTAGAAAAGAGATTTCGCTGCAAAGGAACGTAAGAATGAAGTTGCGCCGGCGTGATCGTATTGTATAATTGCGGTCTTTGACCTAATGCACTGCATGGAGTATCTAAGAGAATACGATCGAAATAATTTTCTTCGAATGGAGGTCCGTCGGTATGGACGAAACTATGCTCTCCTTCGATGACAGCCTTTGTAGCGTCACAACAAAATATTTTTATATTTTTATCATTACATTTTTCCTTAAATCGTTTCACTTTACCTGAATTTTTCTCCAGAGCTATTATTGTACCCTGAAAATTATATCAAAGATGATAATTAAAGTGAATACACTACATATTTACTTTTTTTCTGAATGTTATCGTTTCGTGCTTGTGCGAATTTAAATAAGTAGATAAAATGTACACAGTAATTGGAAAGAATAATGATATGTTATGTGCTGTGTAACAAAAAAATTCTTTTTTTCTTTAAACATTTACCTGTCCTTTCATAAGCAAGGAGATATGTGTGGTTTTGTTGCCAGGTGCAGCACACATGTCTAGGATTGTTTCACCTGGTTGAGGATTTAAAACTAGGCTACACACAATAGAGGGCAAATTTTGTAATAATGCATGTGGTCTCAAAGATTCATTATTTACATTCAATTGTGGAACTCGTGAGATTACATCAGTCATAATTATTGCAATACCACTGGAAAATAATTTAGTAGAAAATAGAAAAGATTTAATAACGCGAATAAAGTTATCATGCGTGTAACATTTTAACATTTAAATATTGTGTAACATCTATAATTTAAATGTGATGGTTCTTTATAAACCATCTATTCTAACGTAATTAAGTAAGTCAGCTTCTATTCTCGGGTATATTTGAAATTCTATACCGTGGATTTCTAGCTGCTTTGCAAAATAATTCTTTCCTTGTTTGTCGAAGAATGCCGTTACCTAAATATATCTTATTACTATTTGCATATGGTTTAATTAAACCTTTCTTACATTGACCAGTAACATCAGCAAACACACTAACTTTAGTATTAATACTTAAACCTATAATTAAATAAATTTTATTATAAGATTCTTTTACGGATACTTTTAATTACAGAAAGAATTCTGTGTACACAGAGATTCTACCATTTGGCATTCCAATAACGCCAGGAGCATAAATATGAGAACCTCTTAATACAGCCGCACCACATATAGCGTCAACGATAATTTCATTTGGATATATCTTTAAATCAAGAGATATCGAAAAATCCCAACTGTCGACTGCAACTATTCCATTTGGAAGATCCGGTAAGAAGTGAATAGATGGATCCGGTTTGCCATCCTAACGTAATATACAAGTAGGTATCACATGTAAAATTTTCTTGTAAAAAAAAGTACGTATCTAGAAATGATATCTAGAATATATACTATACAGAATATATCCAGGACAAATCACATTTTTTTTTGTTTTGGAATTACGAAGGTTTAAGGAATAATAATGTATCTCAGATATGTCAAGATTATATAATGTCTTGGAAATATACGAGAAATATTTCAGTGTAAGTGTAAGTGTTTAAGTGTGTTTTTTTTATAATATAGTTTGTGACTGAAAAACAACTCATATATATGTCACAATTGCTTCTTATTGTAGTAAGATTAGCATTAAAATTATTAAATATCATATTTATGTATTACTAAAAAAAATTGATTTATCTGACGTACCTGCTTTAATGCTTTACATAAATTGTTCAGATCGTTCGTATAATAATCCGTAAAACGATCTAGTCGATAAAAGCTCTTTTTAGGTGTTGTACATAACCATTTACATAGAGCATCAACCTTTTCCTACAATTTTTGTTTTTCTTTAATGCAAATAGAAAATATTTGATTTTGCGTAATAGCAGTGAGATAATTTTCGAAAATTTTATTAAAATACCTCAATTTCAGATTGTTCCAAGTATTTATCGTTAGTTATCGCTTTTTTCAAGTCTTCCCTTAATTCATCACATATTTCAAGCTTATGTTTAAAGGGCAAACAATGCACTTGTAATGACATCTCTCTTTTTCTATTTTTCTATTTTTCTTATTTATCTTCATACGAATCTTGGTGCAATTGCTCAATTATTATTCAGCAGTTAGTTGAACATCTAATATAGGATAATTATTGGTACAATTTATAATTTAGATGGATATTTTTAGATCCAGAAACATTTCCGCGGCGAAATTTTAAATATCTTCTGAATTATTGTTCAAAATCTCTCTTAACATCACATATAGGAATATATTTTATTAACTAGGAAGTTTCTATTTAACCATTTGGTAAAAATGAAGAATTTGAAGACTAATCGATTATACAAAACATAACGGTTGATAAAACTCTCGCATAAAAATTTTTTCTATTTTCATAACAGTTCTCATTTGCTATGCAGCTATTTACTTTTATGTAGCAAGTTTAGAGTGTTAGTAGTGTAATTAGGAAACAAAGAAACTATCAATTTTTGACATTTACGGGACATGACAACATCCTGTGTGAGTAAATGGAGGTTTGTATATACAAAACCACTTGTGCGCTTTTCACATATTTAATTATTATCATTGCTATCCTAGTAAATATCAACTAACAGCTGGTAACATGATATCAATATTATATTTTCCTATTCAACATTGTAACTGTTACATATATAAAAGCATTATATATTATACTTATTTGTTGAATGAGAAAATTAGAATACTCATGCAATGATATGTGTCACTGTTATTAGGGTTTGTTCGAGATGATTATTTAAAAATAAAAAAAATAAATGTCTTAAATTTATGATTATCCATAGCATATAATTAACAATACCAATAAACTAATATAATTAAAATTATCTGGACAATACGTGTTGTAATAAATTAATTTTTCTTTTGTGTATAGACACTCGCGATAAATTAATATGATACTCATTTTATATTTTTAATACAGTTTTGATCAATATGCCACAAACAAAATGTCTACCTTTGGAAGAGTATCAACAACTTTGTTTAGATTTAGATCGAATACGCCGAGAAACTGCGAGTCTTCATCAAAAATTATGTCATGCTAGAAGAAATTTAGACGAGGAAAAACGTAAACGTCGAAGGATTGAACATCATAAAAACTTGTTGGTAAAACTTCTTCTAGCATTAATTTCCTAAGCTCTCTTATAAAAAATTGTTTTAAAGATATATGTATCATTAAATTAGAAAATATTTATCATTTAGTTTTAAAGCATGTATATTTGTGTTTCAAAGGAAAGCCAAATCAACATGGCTAAAAAAATATTATTTCATGACATAGAAGTAACCTTGAACGAAGATGTAAGAAAGAAACTAGAATTTCTGAACAAACCCGAAGTAGAATATAAAAGTAATAATTCAACCGTCCAAGACAAATGGAGTGATAGACAGTAGGTATAGACCTAGCGTAAAGTATTGTATAATATATATTCTATTTACACGAAAATTCGATAATTTTTATAGTCTAACTACAATAGTGGAAACGGATTCTACGGGTTCGATATTAAGTGACTTAAATTGTTTATCCAAGTCAGAAGATGATTTGGATACCGATACTATTATAAAGGTTCAGAGAGAAAAAAAGTGGAAAGAGTATAAACCTAGTGGTGAATATTCTATGAATAAACAGTGTGGCACATTAGATAAAATTGTAGAATTTAATTCGCCAGATAGAGTAACAGCGAAAATTAAGGTAAAAGATAGTGCACGCTCTGTACCTGTCACAACCCAAATTGCATCTAGCAAAGAAAATATTGATTCTAAATTATCCAAGATCGAATCGTCTTCTGTTAATCATAGCTTTATATCAAAGATAGTTATTAAACCGGAAACATGTATTCCATGTGGTAAGAGGTAATATCTATGAAAATGATTAGCGACAGTTGTATAATGAGGAAATAATTTAGATCATTAAGAGCCTGTTGTTCCACCTTTTGGTAAATTTTACCTGTGAGGTAAATTTGTCAATCCGCGCATATGATTGAGTAATCTTGCTACTTACCTAACAGATAAAATTTACCAAAAGATGGAACAACCGGTCCTAAGTTATATATCTCATCTCCCTTCTGTTTAATGTCAGGATCAGGTTTGGAAAGATAGCACTGAAATGTAGAAATTGTCCCGTTACATGTCACACAGAATGCAAGATTCAAGTTACTTTAATTTCATGTGAATGCAGAAAATCAGCAACATTATTCGGTGGATCTGTAAGTACTGCACGAAATAATAACACAACACTTTTGTGTCACAATTCATATTTCAGGTTGTCATGAAGTAAATACGATGCTAGGAAATTTGTTACTTAACTGGTGGACTAATCTGGAAATATAAAAAACACTGTACCGCGATTAAATTTAATTAAATCTTAATTTAATTATCATTATAAACTATAAACTATAAACTATTGTTGATAGCTAGATTACTGACGATTATTGATAGATATCTAACTGAAAATATGCTATTATATAATTGGAGATATTCAATAAATTTGTAGCATTTATATGTACATATATAATGGTCGTTGCTTTCTGTAGCTTTCTACCCAACTACGCATCAACTACGCAATATCCACGTTTCAGCACGTTTCACGCTGTAATGGGCTTTCTACAATAAGATATTATCCTAGGTCCACAATAGACTTTTAAGCTATAAGAAAGGACGAATCATAATCAATTAAAATACAGACTTTTGCATAACACATGAGACATAAGAAGATGAACCAATCAAAGTCCTTTATTTCCTTCCTTTCTGTGATATATAGAACTCTGATTGCTTGATTTTTTATGCCTCATGTTTTATGCGTTATGCAAGAGTCTGTGCTCCCCGCTTTATTCTCCTCGCATTTGGCCGTAAGCCCGGATCTACAATCGAATTTTAAGCCTTAAGCGGGAAGCACAAACTCTTGCATAACGCATAACACGTAATGCATAAAAATTGAACCAATCAATGTCCTTCGTTTCCTTCCTTTTCATAAAATAAAAAACTGATTGCTTGAATTTCTTATGCTTTATGTATTATGCGTTATGCAAGAGTCTGTGCTCCCCGCTTTAACAATAGGATTTAAGCCTTAAGTCATAAGAAATGGACGAATCATAATCATTGGCTGCATTTAGCAGACTCAACAGTTGAATGAGCACTCGTTGCTATTGATATATTCTTCTAGATCTAAAATCTGATTGGACGATCTAAAAGAATATACCAACAGCAGCAAGTCCTTACATAACTGTTGAATTTGCTGAACGCAGCCAATTATTCTTCTCGCATTCGACTGTAATCCCGAATCTACAATAGATTTTTAAGCCGTAAGCCATAAGAAATGAATGAATTACAATTGATTATTCTTCTCAAATTCGGTTGTAATTGATCAGTTTCTTACAGCTTAAGACTTAAAACACCTATTGTAGATCCGGACTAATTGATCAATTTTTTACGGCTTAAAACGCCTATTGTAAATCCGTATTAGAGTTCTAGACTACATTCCAAAACTTCCTCTTCGAGAAAGATCTTATATGCTATAGTATACATTATGTACTGCATACTTCGAGTAAAATTTTCCTCAGAGAGGAAATTTTGAAACGTAGCCCTGATAGAAGTGTGCCGACTATCGATTCTTTCACATGGATAATTGGCACGCTTTTATTGTGTGGATGTAGTACAGATATGAACCACATCCACTTTCGGCAATACAATATTTTATCGACGTGTCAGTAAATGGATCCCGGCCGGTTATTCCATCTTTTGATAAATTTTACTGTGAGATAAATCTGGTAATCCACGCATGTGATTGCATTGTAATCTTGCTACTTACCCAACAGCTAAAATTTACCAAAAGATGGAACAACCGATAGTAACCCATAGTTACGCAGTTCTCAAACCGAAAGTGGATGTACTGGTGGTAGTTTACGGGCGATTTCGACGGTAACAGGAGTTAGGAGAAAAGTCGGCAGCATGGCCTCTGACTCAGATTTCCCTCTGCTAGAACATCTCCCGAAAACCTCTGCCGAACTCCTATCTCTAGAGTCTCTAGTTTAGTCTAATTATAGTGGTCTATGAACCTGCGCACATTATTTACAACAAATATTAGGAATAAATATGAATAAATATTGAGATTTCAGCCTACCAAATACCAGAATACAAAAGTTACATATCAGAACACGATTTCTGGTTTCTAGGTTGAAATCTTATTATTTATTCCTAATTACTAATATTTCGTCCATTGTGCGCAGGACCTAATTACTAATATTTCCTCTATTGTGCGCAGGGCCTATGAGTTAACAAAACGCACAGAGCTTTCTCGCGTTACTTCACATCAATTCTAGGGGCACTAAACTCGACGTTTACCGGTTTACGAGGCACCATCTCGCGATATTGTCGCGTACCGTGTTGTTAATTTCCATCGTCACGTGACTCGTCGAACCAATCGTGGCAGCTCGATGACCCTATACGTGGCATAAAGTACAGATCCTTTTCACGTCCGCCATTTTGACATACGGTACTTTTCGGGAGTGTTGGTTTTATGTTTTATCGTTTCTCGTGAAAATAATCTTTTTTACTGAAACGTAAGTAACGTAAGTGGCATATATGTGCAACGTGGCGTCACCAGAGAACTCGATAGTAAGATCAAATCTCTGAGTAATGGATCTTTGAGCGGGGAACCTTTGACGATTCTCTGGGGAGTAGGTCGAAGGTGACAGGCCACCGGGTGTACGCAGTGTGGCTTCGCAAACCGCACGATATCTTCTACTTTGCTCGCGCGGTTTCACGCTCTGCTGCTATTTTTAGTACCAACACCCTTAAATAGTACAAAAACCGCATAGAGATCGTCGGCAAGGCAGTCAATAGCGATCCCCGAGGGTATGCTGGTCCGATAATCACAACGATTTTGTTGAGGATGAGAATCGATAGCGAGCAGCGTGAACAGTCTCGTGCATGCTCTTTCATCATCTTTTTTTTTTTTCTCTCTCTCTTTCCCTTGACGAAAGGTATCGAACGTACGATTCCCGCCGTGTCGAGATTCATTGTCGATTGTCCTGTGCGTGTGTGCGTCAGGGTGCGTGTATATATGTATGCGCGCGCGCGCGTGTGTGTGTATGTGTGTGTGTGTATGTCATGTATGTACGTATGTATGCATGTCCTCTCGTGACTGCTTTTTTATGTGATCAGGTTAATTTGCGAGATTTTGAAATCTTTAATTCTTATTGTGTACGCGTGGATACGCCGTGATCGCACGACTGCAACCGCGTAAGCTGGAGATTGATGCTCCGGCTGATCACGAGTGCTGCGTTTCGAAAAACGTGTCTTAACATTTCTCGTGTCGTCGCAATCGATTTCGAGTTTCTCTTTCATTCACATACCAATCGTTTTTTCGTCTATCGTTGCTTACGATGCCCCTGTTAAATATTTATCCTCCTTGATTTTATGCATAAGAGATAGAAGAAGCAAAAGAATCGACAATTTTATACATGTTCGAATATTTCCCAATTGCAAATGTTAGATGGTATTTATATACATAAATATTTTTTGTACATACTACGCGCGTATTTAGCAATCACATAATGTTGCTGAATTTATTTCATCATGTTAACCCAATTTCTTCTTACATGAATGCTACAATTCTATCATTTAAAAATTATGTATCACATCTTAATATATTGTATTGTATAGTTGAAAACTATAGGAATGTTATACTTTCCATTGTATTTCGTGTTGCTTAGTGTTAAATGTAATATAAATACATAGTTTCAAACTATGAAATTGGAGATGAAATTAGGGATATGCAGGAGCTATAATCTATTGTTTAGAATGACAATGGCTGTGATCAAAATCTTGCTGCAAATGCTTTGAAGCATTTGATGGATCAATTAGAAGAAAAAATTTTACAAACTGACCAATTAAAAAATGCTCCAAAGCATTTGCAGCATCGTGTTGACCGTACCCAACATGTTTCTAGACAATATGTTAAAATCAAGCATATGTGTGTGTGTGTGTATGTATTTAAAAGTTTGACATACTTGATACATATATTTTCTGAGAATATATTATAAGCTATTTTTATTGCAATTTATATAACAAAAAAAATGTAATGGATATATATATATCACACATACATGTGTATGCGTGTGCGTGTGTGTGGTGTGTGTTTGTGTATACATATGTGTGTATATATACATATATATATATGCATATGTTCAGGTCCTGACATACAAGTTCCAATCATGGGGAATATGTTTGCAACGTTATTCAAAGGTCTTTTTGGCAAAAAAGAAATGAGGATTTTGATGGTGGGTCTTGATGCAGCGGGTAAAACCACAATTCTGTACAAATTAAAATTAGGGGAAATTGTCACTACAATTCCCACTATAGGTAAGTACATGTCTCTTTTTTTCATGTGCATCTGTAATTTAAAGAATGTATTATCAGATATTAAGTAATATTTTGTACATTTCCTATAAACAATTACAATTTCTCAATTTATTCGACTATAATATAGTTCATTTTTGTATATATTTTAGAGTTTTTATACAAAAAAACTTTTGAGTTGTCACCACAGCCATATTGTACCATGATGTCAGAAGCAAGAAATGATATGTTAATTTTTATCAGGTACCATTTGTAAATAAAAGCAATTTGGATAAAGCGATGAGATTGCTATAAAACAATTGTAAAAAAGGTGTGAAAGCTATTCTTATCCCTTTCTTACAGTTGGTAAATAATCATAAAAATGTGATAAAAAACGGACTTATACTTTTTACAATTATTTACCAACTATCAGGAGGAAGGAATATAATTTCTTTTCATTTCGATAAATGTTCAATGCGATCTTGCCATTTTGTTTTATCCAAATTGTCTTTATTTACAAATGGTATGTGGCAAAGATTAATGTGTCATTTCTCTGTCACTTCTGACATCACAATTCAATGTGGCGTGGTGACTACTCAGCAGCCTTAAATACTGTAATAGTTTATAAACATGTGAAAGTAACATTACACGCACGTAAATGTATTTTTTAGGTTTCAATGTAGAAACAGTCGAGTATAAAAATATAAGTTTCACTGTATGGGATGTAGGCGGCCAAGACAAAATAAGACCTTTGTGGCGGCATTATTTTCAGAATACACAAGTACGTTAATTTTTTTTTTATTAATTGTAAATTGTTAATGTTTTTCCATTAAGTTGATGTTTTATTCCATTATCACTTTCTTTATATTTAATTTATAGGGATTGATATTCGTCGTTGATAGTAATGATAGGGAACGTATTGGTGAAGCACGTGAAGAGTTAATG